AATACACTAAAATAAGTCGTATGCAATCAGCAATTTAGTTATTTGTAAATGCTTCATTATTTAAATATTTTGGATACCCTTTTACTGATAATAACCTTCCTCGACTGTGTTTGATTCCATAACTTCAAAAGAATGTATTTACTGCTGGCTTGGCAGATACCTGTAAATGAATCAAACATTTATTTAAGAAGCTTACAACAATTATGTTAGAGATAAGGATTGATTATCTTTAACAATTATGTTAGAGATAAGTCTCCGTAAGATTTAATATATGATAAAGCTACTTCATAATGTGTTTCCTTAAGACTTCGTGTATGATATAGTAAATTTCGCGACATGTCTTTGTAAGATCGATTATATGATACAGTTAATTTGATGACGTGTCTCTGTAAGATTTAATATATGATATAGTCAACTTCATAATGTGTTTTCGTAAGACTGGGTATATGATGTAGTAAATTTCGCGACGTGTCTTTGTAAGATTGATTATATGATCCAGTTAATTTGGTGATTTGTCCCGTTAAGATTGACTATATCATAGAGCTAATTTGCTGATATGTCTCTAAAACATTGATTATACGATTGCGTTAACTTCGGGGTGTGTCTCCGTCAGAATGAGTAATGGTACACTTGATTTGGTGACCGTTACCATTATACGATATTATTCTTTCGGGCCGGCATGTTTTCATTGATTAGGATGTACTTACCTTCGCTCGGCATACACATAGTTCATTTTGTAGCCTTGTTATGATGTTTTTCCTTATTTTGAACATCTTATTTTGAACATTGCCTGTTGGAAATTGAAGTTGATTGTATACTTGTTACTATAAAAACATCATTGAAGTTGGATACGTATTTAGTCACATAATCATTCAACCAACAGCGAACTCAGCTATAGATGTACTAGTGAAACGCGGTCGTTTGCTATCCGTATTATCTCCCAACAGGCCCGGAGGAGGAAGTCGTCTCCATCATTATGTTAGTGTGGCTTTGTTTATTGTAGTGGAGCGTTATTTACAATTATAATTAGGCTATGTTTTCCGTATCTTCACTATAGAGATGTTTATTTATAACCACTAAATTGTTTTTGTTGTGAGTTGTTCCTATTAACGTTGTAAATATGCAATGATATTTGGTAAATCTTTCAAACAATTGTTACCAACAGTAACGTTTTGGTGACAGGAGTTACAAACAGATTAATTGTTGATACAGACACAGACGATAAAGTCTGATGTTTAGATCAGCGAAGAGATGGTTTTATGGCCGACTATAAATGATGTAACAGCTGAACCATACAGTGATCATATACATATATCTATCATACCTTTTTGCATTCATCATGTTGTCATTACTTTGGTTAAATCAGATTTTGAACCCATATTCAAAGGGGCAAAAAGTGAAAAAAAGTTAAAAAAAAAAAAAGATAAACAAAGAAAATATCGACATCTCAATAATAATATGATAATAAAGGAAAAAAAGAAAACAGAATTTGACAAGACACATCGGAATTAAAAGCATATTCTGCCACATCAACATGTCCCACCAGGTACATGTAAGATATTTCGTTTTCACAAAGTTATACGTTTTTACTTAAAAATAATGATACATCGTTATGTATTTTCAACGTTCAATGGAATGGATGTATGTAATCTTAAATGCGATTTCATTTCGTACTAGATTTTATGGAACAAGTCTGGGATTTTTTTTTATTTATCTATATTTTTTTAGTCTGGGCGAGGAAAACTTAAATCATAGAGACGAGTTTCCTATAATCTCATGTGAAATGAAAGCAAATCCAAAATATATTCTATCACATAACTCAGAAACAGATTATATTATGATAGATTTTAGAGTAGAAGTGTCGGGGGAAATCAACAAACGGAGGCAGTCATTTTGTGGCGCCATTTCCAATCCATGACGTAAGATCATTGTCAATATTATGACATCACAATCAAATTCTGATTGGAGCAGCAGCCAATAAAAGACGCTCTGTGGTATATTACACTTATAACACAAAGCCAAATATTACGAATTCTCTCTTTTAATCTTTGACTACCATTTTATAAGTTAGAAGAATATTCAATGCCAACCTGCAATGTTTCGGCCAGTCCTTAATCAGAGGTATGTACAGGATTGATATGGTTGTAGTAGTATTATAACGGACATTTTGCTTACAGTTTGTGATCGTTTTAATGTATTTAATATTGATTTGTTGTTGTTTTATCGGCTCTCTGTTAATTTTGAACTCCATTTTCAGTCTGATTCTAATAACGTATTTTTGTATTGATATTAGGCAGTTACAGCTCACTTTTATGTAGTAAAATCTATAAAATCATCGATGAAATTCATGAATGTGGCAAAATACTACTTATACAGTATTTTATTTACAAGATTGAAGATAAACATTATTTATTACAGTACATCTGTTTAGCTTGTTATAATTATTATCTTTTGCATTTGTAGAGATTTTATATCATCCTTATATTTCTCTAATACAAATGGAAAAATAGTAATTGATCTGTAATTACTATAACACTTTTTCATCATTGTTCATGCAATGAAAGCATGTTATTTTATAAATATTTAATCTATATGCCCGGATAGCGCACGACTTAGAAATTGTCTTCGTTCGTCATTTGTGTTACAACATGCCAGACATATTTATTAATTAACAAAGTAATCATATACAGTAGTTCCAGATTTGACTTACTTTTCGTATTTTTACCCGTTTATGATATGGTACCAATGATATAAATATTTCACCATCAAGGAGTATCCATTTGACTGTTTCATCTCCCCGTCTGATTTTTTTTTGTTTTATTTCATTCGGCCAATTTCGATATGCATGATACCAACTAATTCTCAGCAATATATTATCTTAGCATCGCTGATGAGTCCTAAAATGACAAAACAGATGCATGATGCAGTTCACTTCGTTGTTTAGCTGTACTGTGTCTCTTACACAATTTATCCAGATGAGTTATATTTACAAAGTGTGAAAGTTTATTTTTTACATGCCTAAATGCTCATAGTACATGCTATTGTAAAAGTCAGCCCTATATTTCAGAGATGTGTGCATGTGATATATTATCGCAGTACCGTCGATACAGACAAGCGGTCGTGTAAATCATGGTGTTATGTCCATGATAACAAATCGGCACGATTTGCTGTTGACGTTTACTCTGAATGACACATATTAATTTATGTTCCAAAGGGAATGCCTCATTTGTTTTAAAGCTTAATTTACTGGAGCGTGCACCAAGACGATATTTTCACATGCAACCGGAGCATATCATATTTGGTAAACAGGTTTAGGTGTTAAAACATGTGTTACATACTGGCTTCAAGTATGATTTATAATACCTCTCATATAATCATGGTGTAGTATAACTTATGGAGTAGTGTATATTTATCAACCTTCAAGATATAAAAATGTTTCATCGGGTTTGTTTCGCTGTATCATTATCATGAAAAAATCATTAACTATTTCTAATTACGTGATTATTGTTGATAGAATACTGAAGTATACTACGACCCTGTATTATCAGCTGTTGTGTTGAAAATTAGTTGCATATTGTACATCACGGTATTGTTACAAACTCTCGGTAGGGCGTAATGACTCATACACAATAATATCAAACTTATATAGATTTAAAAACCAAGGACACTCAAGGACGATCAACAAAACAATAAGTAAATGAATAACTGTCTAGTTGTTTAGATGTGTCTTTGTATATTTTTTTTCACAGAAAATATGTTACTTGATTAAGAAGTAATTTCTGAAAAGAAATGGTTTGTTCTTTAGTTTACAACTATAAGCTGTTTTGCTATGAAGATAGAATCCGTGTGCACAATGTTTAACTTTCGTCTTATTATAATTTATAAAAGCAATAGACTAAGGTTAACTAACCGATATAGACCATAAAGTGTACACACATGTTTTTACTTGTAATTCTACCCACGTGCAGTATCATATTAAACATGAATCAACGTACACACACTGGCCCACAACGTACTCACTCTACCTTTGATATTTGAACTTATAAGTACGAAAATCATTTACATGCCTGTAAACATACAAGCTGAATTTCATTCAAAATATTCCAATACAACACGTTGTACTACAACAAATATATTTTACTAGGTTTGCTTTTTTATATTTCTTATGGTAAATGTAACCATAAAAACGTTCAGTAAAGGGACCATGTTACATAACGGTAAATTGTTTATAAATTGTGTAAAGTGTGAAGTATCGAGATAAAGATTTAAAAAGATATCAACAAAGATTACTTGGTGTTTGAAATCGTTTACATGCACCATTGTGATACAAGGCTAAGTTTTTAAAGGTCGCTGTTCGGATTTCGTCTAACGTACATGTACACTGTATAAAGCTATGAGTTGGTATTAGGGCTGTTATATTACAGGTCAGCACTAGGATATATGATCTCATGCTCATTATATGTTGGACCAGCATTCCGTGTGTATTGTAGACTGAACTATGTTATTAAGTTTGCGGGCAGGGATACAATATTTTTTTTTAATTTGGGAATATATAGAAAGTACCGATTTTATTCTTAACTTTCACGTAAAAAATGAACTGACACTGTAGAGTATACCTAGTGCCGATTAATCGAGACTTTGGAAGGTGATGATTGATTGCTGTGTGACCGCAGTATGATTCTACTGCTGTCGAGAATGTGAACTTATTTTATGCGGTTAGGATGTAGGTAAGATAAACATAATATTGGCTATGTTACATTGTCGAACGTATAAAGTTGCTGTTATAGCGTGATAATTTAGAGTTAACCTCACAGACACAGATCTGGGAGAGGATTGAGAAAGTTATGGGAGCTGTGATATGACACGGACAATCAGTTTTGGGGATACATTTTGAAAGTAAGCTACCATCTTATTAGCCTCTGCGTGTGTCTGGTCTAGGTCTTAGTCAGACACTACGCCGGATAGTGCTGGCATTCGGCCACCACATCTAATTGCAACCATCTCGTAGGATAAACAGATCGACTTACCCTCGTTTAACGTGAGAAGACTTTCTCCTCTGATTAACATGTGGTTTCAACAGCTAAAATTTCTTGGTTACTTATGGAGAAAACCTAATGAATAACGGATTTTATTTCTGCATTGACTTAGCAGTTAGCCATCCATTTGTCTACTTGGCTAAAGGCCGAGGGGCTACAACAGTACTGGAGGGTGTAAAGGAGGGCGACCACTGTATATACCTACACGCCACGCGCCTTAAACATTATGGATATAAGGCCTTGTTATGACAATGGCGAGAGTAGAGTCATTAAAACAAAAGTTAGATGTACAGAGGACAAGACCAAGGCTTCATTCGAAGGTTGTTTCTTATTTCCAAATTCTGTAAAGGATTATACTACGAAGGTGTATCCGAATTATTCGAAGGAGATATATTTGCTTCTTTCCAAACATTAGGAACAGCGGATCGGAGGACAAGATGTTAGTGTTTATGCTACAGGTAGTATATACACCCTGTATCTCCACTTGTATCTGCCATTAGCTTTACTGATATCAGATGTAGGATAGCCCTGTACACGTTTTCCTATATTGCTGGAATATTTAGAGAATCCGTTACATAGTAAACCTGACAATAATCATTCCAACGGCGATTTATAGTCAGCAAATAAGGTCTAAGTTTATCATATCTAATGTCTAATACTGTATCTGATGTTTTGATACCAAAGAGTTATCCGTAGAGATGCACTTTCGGGAATAATTATTTCATTAGAAAAAATTCAGCGCAGACTTATTTTGCTCAAACTAATCAATCCTTTGAATCACTTGTGACGTAATCAAATGTCAGTTCACACTATCACATACACGAACTCTTATCACACTACGCATTTCTTCCACAATCATTAGATCAGGTTTTATGATTATAAAATGGGTTTTAAGACGTGAATTTGACATAATTAAAATTGTTTTTTCATGTGTACTGTATTCTGGCTACAGAACTAACTATACTGCCCGGCATATAATTTTTTTTCGGTCGGAATAGACAACAGGCCCAAATCCAGGTACGCGCCCCCTTTAACGTCAATTCTCCAGACACTAGAAAGTTTTGTTGTTTTTTTTTCTCTCATTTTCCATTGTCTGACACTATGTGTCGGATCATGAATGTTTTATTCCACTGTAGTTCGCTATTGATTCTGTTTACGTTATCTTAAATCTGTAATCTGAGGTTCTGTAACACGATGTCGTACTGTGATACATGTATACACTTTACCGAATTGAGTAATTTTAATAGATTTCTATTCAATATGTTCAATACTGGTTAACGAGTACTTAAACACATTAAGGTTATCGTCTTATCAAGAGGCCCTATGTCAATGTGAAATAAGTTAATACATATCAACATGTCGCCTGAGATTAATAGTAAAAGGTCATAATTGAATTCAATATCTAACTCAAGTTGTCCAGGTCATCGTTTGCATTGATCATCAAAGAGACTGTGGAATACCTGCTCTGTCTGCATGCATGTGTTTCATGCTGTTAATCGTAATCGGTAGTGTCTCGTAAATATCCTATGTTGACTATCGCACTAAACATTGCGTTTTACTATAGCCGTCTAATTGTATTTCATAATATGAATGCAAATTATCAAAGCATGGATACAAACCTTTTTAATCTAAAATATTATAAGAATAGGTTCGAGAAAAAACTATCAACTGAGAGTACAAAGTAGGGTTTCGGTGTATTCATTTCACACTTCCGCCTTAGATACAGGGTAAGACATACATGTCTAGTACCTGAGTAATCATGTTATCCTATTCACGGTATGTTGAAACTGTTTTTTTTTCAGTAAAAGGCATGATTAAGTGTATTTTCTTATATCATTTATTTATTATTATTATACAATTTATATAAAGGTGGGATTACGTTCATTTAAAGAAAGTGAAATGATCCATAAATTGCGATTAATCATAAACTTATTTGTCATTTTCTTTGTGCCCATTAAGGTGATAGGATATGCTAATAGATTAATTATATAAATAAGTTATTACGACTGTTTATGTTATTTCCATTGATCATGAAATAATGTTTTCAATTCAGTGCTTTGACAAAAAAAAGTTGTGAATGAGAAGATACGCCCACACTTGTAACTATACCTGTTCTATTTGATTAGTATCGTTTTAATCTGTAAAATGTTTGAAATTGACGAATGTCACTATCATCTATTTATAAGTATCTATGCCCTGTGCCAAGTTTAAACTACTAATTTATAGTTATACATGAATTTCCTCATCTGAATTAATCTGGTATAAAACTACCGGGTATTAAGCTTGTTAACCGAATAATCCGTGTTGTTGCACAATATGTTATATAAGCAGCATACTGTGTACACTAATATACCTGACGTCGGTGCATCACGTATTTACTGCCTATTCCTCCTCCATAACCTGGCCGACAATGATGATGTTCTTTCTGTGTTTATGGCATTCCCTGATAATAAAATGGCAATGGAACGTGTATGGAGGGGCACATATTGTCGGTATATTGCTACCCAAATCCCAGATATTCTTTTGCTTTATGTAAGTACCAGTAGGTAAGGAACAATTCCGTACTAATGACATACGGGGAACTCTAATCCCTTCTTGTAATTAACGGCAGACCATCAATGTACTTCCATGTGTATGAATAGCTGCTCACAGCCTCAGTCTAAATATGTGTAGTTTCGTAACTCTCTATTGGACGGAGGTAAGAATTTGTCGACCAAGTTTTGTGCATAGTTCTATAAATGCTGGTCTCCTCGTGAGACGTGCTCTGGAATGCATACTACAATAACTGACCTGCTGAAGTTATATTTAGTCCATAATCTATTCTGGCATGACAAATCTGTGCAGCATGTCCCTCATCAAGTGGACTTGTAGCGGGCGGTGCACATGTTTCCTAGTCGTTTATGTTTTGGTAAGTACACGTCTTCCCCTTGGTGCAGGCAGGAGTCAACTGACCGCTAGTTCTTTAAAAAAATTTCGCTATTCATTCATATTTTCGTTGCAATGGTTGATGTTTTTACTACCGAAATATCATGTACTGTACCATACCCATGTATCCATTAGAAAAGCCCATGTTGGAATCGGAAGGATATGCTTTAATGTTTCGAAATGTTTCGTTTATTATGGTTTAGATTCATTCACATTGTGTGAAAAAATGAACCAATAAATATTTTGTCCTTGGATGTACACTATAGCTTGTTTTACTTAACTGGTTTTCATCCCCTTTAAGAATGGTAGTCTCTGCGGCATTTTTAGGTTAAATAGTTGTAGTGGTGTTCAAAAGATGTACTAACATTTAGTTTCGTTATATATAAATATACATACACGTTTTTATTGGGATATTGATCCCGAAAGCATCAAAACTGCGAATAGATGCCACATTCATTTCCAGTACCACAGTATGAAAATACGTATTTATTTTTTTAATAGTTCTAGTCAGAAAATTAAAGAAATCTAAATACAGCAATTGCATGTACCATTTAGGATCTATGAATGACCACTAATAAAAAAAATTAACGCAGTTCTCTATCTAATATGGTCTGAAAGAAATGTAAATGGGGGATGAATGTTAATAAAAACTCCTTTTTATAGTATGGAATTACAATTATTATGTAACACTGGTATTTGATTAGTCTTTGTTTTGAGTTCTATAGAATAAAGGCAAGTCACGACGACGGGAAATAAAAGGGGAAATCAGCGCTGGTTTTTGAAATGAGTTGTTCAAACTGCTTTATCACATGGTGTCTGAACTAGGGATGATTCTGCATCTGGTAACATTCTCATATGTTATGGATCACAATGTGTATAGTCCTTTAAATCTGAGGCGTTAGATAGCTACACATGACCTCAACTCCGAGGTCACGGAAATGCTTCGCCTCAACTGACTAGTCCACGTGTTTCCAATATGTCAAAGAAAGGGTAGAGAAGATTCTTTATATTTCTCGAAGTTCATTTCGAAATGTGTAGCAATAAGTATATTTAAAATGATGATCTGGAACATCTTTATATTATTGATCATTAATGTACGGCTTGATTTCTAATTAGGATGTCGATGATGAAGTTGATTATATTTGTTTTTTTTTTTTTTTTATGTATTTACGAATATGAAATTCGGCCCCTTTCTGTAGAGTGATTGCCCTGACATCTTTATATCACTATCGGTTATACAATAACGCCATGCTGTGTACGATGCGTACTTAGATTTCCTCTATCTAGACATCGCCATTTGATTTCTGCATCAATGAAAATAGGTTAATTTTGTACACGACTAGTTATCTATTGATTTCATGTCTTACATGGACGTCATACACAACACCCTACCTGATCTTACTGTGGTAATGAGGCGTAGTATTCATGTATCCATGCTGTTAGTGATTACATACCAATTAAACGACATGGGATTAAGTGTGCTAATGTTATGATATATTTGATGGACAGCTAATGGCCATGTACAGTATCAATGTAAGGAAATTCATCACGTGACCCTCTGGTACCTGGTACTCTATGCATCAGATCGGTAAACGGTGCTCCAAATGACATGAAAACGTGTTCGGGTTTGTAATAAAGGCACCCACCGTTGAGATGTAATCTTTTGTTATGTTATTAGCTTGCTGAGGTAGAAATCCTCTGTTAGGAAGTAAACTGACCTATATTTGTTAACCTGGTGATACCGTTAATCCGCACTAATCCTTGTCTGTTAGCTTATCACATTGTCCATTTATTAAATGAACATGTAAATTGGAAAGCGTTATTTGACATTGGACACTACAGTGTGGTGAAATCATCAGCAAGGTTGATGTTTTGGCTTATGTGATTTCAGTGATATACGGTTGGGAAGTAACACTATAATTGATCGTTGTTAAAGTTTCGATCTATACGGGCCATTGTGACAATCAGTGGCTCATTCAAAACAAATCAAAATAAAACATGTAATCATTGGAGAAGAAATCCAACGGGATAAAAAACTTTTAACGCACAAGGAGCTATTTTTCACAGCTGAATAATTATGAAAACAATACCTCAGATGGGCCTAATGGAATGTATTCAAAATTGATTCCACTTCTTGTTATTAGATGTGGGATGTTTGTACAGAGATTGCCCTATTTCGATTCCTGTTAAATTTAAGAAACGATAGAAGTGTTGTACTCTGAGGCGTTTCTGCTAAAATAAGGAAACAAGTTAATGAAAACGACTAGTTTGTATGGTCAACTAAATTATTCATGCAATTTGTAATGAAAAAAAGACATTTTTGAGGCTTATGTGAATTTTTTCGCCTTCAAATATCTTTTTTTAATAATGGCAAAATGTAGTTTATAGTCTTCAGTGCCGTGAAGTCTATTACACGTATGTCACAATTGAAATATTGGAAACGCTTTGTTACATTCGCATACTTGTGTAGACAGGTAGCTTTTTGATGAAACCAATATGTATCTCTTACGAATATATTTACAATCGATTGTAGTATTTACTTTTTTTCTCTTTTTGATTTGTTTTTTTATGTATATCATAACAGTAGGTATATCTAAACACTGACAATTTCATGACTGTGTCGGTTGATAAAGTTGATATTCAGTTTGATAAACAGATCGAGTTTGTTCAGATATTAACAAATCAATCTGAGAAAGTACCGACTGAATTAGTTTTAATTTTACCTCTATGTCAATCTGATAAACTCAACGACTGAATTTGTTTTTATATAACGTCTATGTCAATCTGATAAAGTCACCGACTGAATTAGTTTTTACATTACGTCTATGTCAGTCTGACAAAGTCACCGACTGAATTAGTCTTAATATTGCCTCTATATCAGTGTGATAAAGTCAGAGATAGAGTTATTTCTAATATTCCCTTTATCACTGTTAGGTAATCATTGCTCCATTTCTACGTCGTCAGCTTGGCCTGATAATCAGGTACACTGTCTGAATATGATAGTGTTATCCAGTGCATCACCGTGGGCCACTTTTGTTTTTTCCATCATTATCCAACGATCTTTAAAACAATATCAATGATTATAATAACTAATCGATCGTGTGTTATCATGTAGATAAGGGACAATCATTACATATTGTTAAGCCTGGAGTTTTATATGAAGATAAATAGGACCTGCTTAGCTGACCATGGCAGAAATATCCGAATGCAATCAGTTTGTAATTAATAAAATTTTAAATGGATTTCAGCTAAATGAATATGTGAAGACTTTTTACGAGGTTTTCAGTTACTAGGTTATGGTATATGTGATAATGTAGAATACAAAGGTGACTTGAAGACTCGACTGGCATGGATACAGAGTTGAAAACACAGCTGAACCTTTCATTTCGCGATGGTCGTAGACACTGTAAGTGAGCTTGTTAGCCTAATTCTTAGACGACTGGTACTTCTTTGATGATACAACCTCATCTCTTTACACATCAGTAACTGCTCTTTACGTATCACTAATTACGTTATTTTATTAAATAATTATCTTCAAAATAGGATCTCTTTTCCGGACAGTCTCTTGGTATTAAACGTCTCTGAAATATTAAGGTAAAACTTGCGGTTAGGTGATGGGGTTTGTGTCTGTGCTTACCTACCGTACATCACAGGAAATACACTTGTACAGGGTAATGTGGCCCCATTTCCCTTGTGGCAACCACCTTTGCTTAACTAACATCAGATTCGCCTAATCTAAATCTTAATCGCAATGTCAGTAGTTCATGGGTTGGCAACTGTATCATTTGAGAATCGCGGGTTAGAATTTTACGGTTTACAAGAGGAAGTTCTAAAAAAATGATCCTCCTATGTCTATAAGATCTCATATGAATTCGTTAGCTACATAGTAAAATGTTCAAATTCATCTATAGCAGTGATGCCATCATTATTATAACTGGCACTTGTTTGTGGACAAGAATCCCTGTACGACTTTCATCATTCACTTCGCAGACTTGACAGCATGTGTGTCAGTGAACGGATAGTGTTAGATATCGAGCCTTTATCGTATCAGTGTAATTGCATATATATTCATCAACTGTATCTTTACAATCTGTATCTCCTTGCTACTTCCAGTATCTGTAGCCAATCCCTTCACAACATGTAGGGAATTTTTCATTCCGACATGATAGGTGCTTCCTGTAGCAAATTTAAGTTTTTGATAAATGATGTTTGTAGCATAACACAGCTTGAACGCTAGAATTACAGGTTAATTTATGTAGGCAGTAGGTTAAATATCAAGTGTATACCATTAAAATGGAATAAAAAGCGACTTAATTTGGAGTGATTGAACTTAGGCTTGTGTGCTGTGTATGTGTAATGTTAAATGCATTTGACTCCATCGGGATCATACGGATGTCAATGTTAAGTGTATGTTTATGTATAGTTAAATGTTTAACATTGTACGTGTTGTTCAACATTTAGTTATCTCTAGCAGCAATTCATCATACACGCTTCAGTATAGGTTGTCATTATGGTATGTTATATGCCGAATATCAAATATTATATATATCTTATGTTGGAAAAAATCAAACATTTCTATTTCTCAAGTTTGATAATTATATTCCTATATTACGTGTATCGAATTTTGTACCTTTATATCACTGTGAACTAGTTTTAGTGAACTGGAGTTTGGTTTATGATTATGTTCACATGTTGGTATATCCTTGTTGTTATTGTAGGGAATATAATTACATGTATGATGTGCTGAAACAAATACAGGCATATCCTACAAACATATTCTACAGAAGCCATGAATATACTATTTGTTTAAGCGATATATCAGTATTTCCGACCGCATATTCTATGGCGTGGCACAAAGATGTTTTTAATGTAAAAAAATGGAGTTTATTTTCTGTTATATTAAATTTTCATCAATTTGATGAATGGATTGCGATGCATGTCAAAAGGGTCAAAATGTTAGTTAACTAATTTCGCATAGGTGATACATACGATGACATATGTAAATGAAAAGTTATGAGAATAATTAGGTGTTTTAAAAGAAAAGAATAGATGTTTAATTCAGCAAAAGTCACTGAACAAAGTATTTCTCTTTGACTTCCGGAACAGAGTATTTCTCTTTGACTTCCGGAACAGAGCATTTCTCTTTGACTTCCGGAACAGAGTATTTCTCTTTGACTTCCGGAACAGAGTAATTCTCTTTGACTTCCGCAACAGAGTATTTCTCTTTGACTTCCGCAACAGAGTATTTCTCTTTGACTTCCGGAATAGAGTAATTCTCTTTGACTTCCGGAACATAGCAAACATGGTACGGACATTCATCTGCATCAAACTGAATCTATTGAGACTTTTTGTGTCTTGAACCATCACAATTTTACTATTTGTTGTTTATTGTCTGTTTGTGGATATGTTTCTATTTGGTAATTACATATATGTCTGTGTATCTTTTAAGAAATGAAGCAGCGAAACCCGGGATAGACGATAACATGTATGTGTATTCCCTGTTAATCATACTGTATAATTCTGTTGTTGTAAAAAGGAGAAGTAAGTCAATATCAACCTTGTATCAACAATTAATATACAAATGCATATGCGATACTGAGATAATTAGTACCCGGTAATGTTGACAATTTTGAAAACTATACAAACATGGTCATGTAAATTATCGCAGTGTGTAACACTGGCGGAGTTATGCCCCTTTACATAGATCAGCTCTATACTTATTCATTTAATGAACGTAACGGTAAATAATGTCCAAGTAATCGAGCTTTGTGTCTTTTTGTTTTTTATAATTATACAATATTATACGGAACGCATGACAACACGTAAAGACTTTTTATTACAACACGGCGCGTATCTGATCATACTGAAGGATATTGAACTATTTGTTTTTGTACACACGGTTAACTTCAAGGAGATATTTCATTAATCGCGCATATGTTGATCTTTAAAATGTTACGACACACAGACTTCAACAACATGCACTCACCTTGTCGAGATTACTATAGTGCACCTGCGGGGAAGGAAATAAAACGTAAGGTATGGTAACACAGATTTGTCTCAAGGTCAAGGTCCGGTGGCGGATTCCAGACGTCTAGCTGTAGCAGCCACTTTTGTTTTCTTTACGATTGCGCCGCGTTTCTTCTGACGAGTTGAGAAATAACCGAGGGTCCGTGTATATCACTTTACACATGGTCGGTTCAAGTCATAACAATCTGGATCAGGTTTTGGATGTTGGTCAGAATAGAAACAAAATATCACTATCTATATTTAGGCCATAAGGTGTTTGTCAAAGAAACCTATGAGCGAATCGATGGTTCGACTGCACAACCAGCTATCAAAATGATAAATGTATCTTTATTTCAAAGTGTAATCTTTCTATCTTGGTAAGTTTTGATAAACGTATAAGAAATAATTTATTTTATTTTTTACTTCAAGCAGACTTGTTGAGTAAGACGGTTGAATGTTATCAGACAGTGTCTTGTAAAAACCATATGCGGCGTCGTGTCTCTCGATTGACGTAAAACAGTAGATAAATCAACTTCCTGCTATATTGTTGGAAAAAATTCTTCAAAGCAGTGGTGACGAATACATGGGAGTTTCTTTGACAAGCAAACGGGTAAATGTAAGCAGAATATACAAATAGACATTTGGTAAATGCTGCCTGTGACGGTGTACTGTACATACTTGCTATAGTGTGTGGTCTAAAGATTGGAAGCTTCTGTGTGGAGGCTTGTTGTTATAGGTATATCCAAGTCTACACTCGTGTTCTCTCTCGTTAGTTCTATGTAGAAGCTTTCTCAGTTGATCCAAACTTGAGTGCGGTTAGTGTTAAATGTTTGCAGCAGACCAAACATTGCAAACTATGCAACGATATTCCACGTGGAGAAGAGCCAGGACGATCTGTCAATCAGATGTTGGCCCTCCCAAACCGCGTTATTACTCATTCGAACTGTAAAGTGGTTACAGCTACTCCGACAGGCTGCGTGCAATTCAGGGCAGAGTCGAGATGAACCCGCTACTTTCTAAATCCCCTTTCCATTTTACCATTACACTTTCGCTAGCTATCACAATGGTGAAATATCACGACTTGACCCATGACGGAACAACGTATACTCGTATGTTTAACATTGCAAAAGTCTTTTTATGATGAGGAGATGGATATGTATATATATATATATATATATATATAATAGAAGACATGTGCTCACACCTAACATTACTAGCATAGATATGTATATGTAACGTGTGCCTGACGGTGAGGAAAGCCATGAACATAACGTTGTTTGACAATGCCATTTCCACGAGACAGCCTTGCATGCTGTAAAGTTGATATTAATTTCTACGTTATTGTTCTCGCGTTCAGTTTTCTCTTGAGTGAGCATCATTATACATGCAGAAACGCCCCTGTGTGGTTCGTTTCCTCTCGCCATCGAGTCCAAGTTGTAATTGACACATTCTTACTCTAATTTCAGGAAGAAGGCAGTGACAGTTTCACCTAGTCCACGACTTGACCAAGGAAAATGATTATAGTGCAATTGGATTTATTATTTACGACCGACAAATGGAAATAATTCTATAGTGGATATATACTTGGATGATTAGACAACGGGTTTAACTTAACTACATTGATACCCACGTGGTCACTTTGACTGTATCCTGTCGTGTACATAGCCAGCTACTGAATGGTGTTTCACCACCCCTACCTGGAGCGGGGAAAGGAGAGGAGGTGGTAATTTCAACATTCAATATTTATGTTTTCTTGAGAGAGAGAAACAAAACGTGTTTTAAATTCAGTTTGGAAATAGCACTTATTCCAAATTATTTGCTAATCTGCACTGTGAATTTGATTGATTCAGGGGGATACCGTCCAAACTCCCCATCCACATGGCAAGCAGTAACTACTGCACGCGATATGTCGCGGGTATTATGGCGTCGCCTTAATAGCGGAGTGTGTTGCGTATCGTATTTGTGACAGGATTACTGATCGGGTACAGTGGCTGGTCACGGCCTTCAGAATTCATACGGGATCGGGATGATGGCGAGTGTGCTGTTACTACAAACTTTAACCGTTCTACATATCATATTACTGTCAAACCGGGTAGGGGCGGAGAGGTTCTTCCAATATCGGGATCATCGGGATCAGGGCAATTTCATACGTCTAAGAAAAAATACCAATATGGTGAGGAACGTTTTAGAAGCTGAGGTAAGTATGTAAAGAACATTGTTTGATGAACCTGTCTTGTTTACTATATTGATTATGAAATAATCCATGATATTTTACTTCTATATTTCATTCATATCACTGATTTGCTATTATGAATTATATATTTGTTTTCACGTTCCAATTAACTCAAAGTACCATGTCCTACAATGCAGAGACTATGAAATTAACGATAATACCATGTCAGGAAAGCGAGAAAGTTAGAAATTGAAATAGAAATTAAAGTAACATTTACAATTTGACGTGACTATCGAACTTTGTAGGGACATCATTAACAACAATATATTTATGTTTAGTGTACATGTTTTCCTGTTTTTTTAAACGTGCTTGTTTAAGGACAGTCGACAATTTTGCTGGCTCTAGTACTATACGTTAATTGTTTTATCAATATGTTGGTCTGTGTTAACATGTACAGGAAATCGCTGTCTGACGGAATCACGTTTGAAAGAGTTGTATTAGTAACAAGTCATCAGCATCAAACGAACATCCGCACGTTCTTACCAATATATCTAAATTAGTATATTCGCCTCCTCATCTATATTTTGACATTGATTGCGGTCAAATTGGATATTCCTCAGACCCCTACTAACATTAAGACATGTAGTGTCACTGGCGAATGATATAGGCTACAAGCAACTGTATGATACGTTGAAAAGATTATTTAGCTGTAATTAACTTAACTGTTAATTCTGCGAAGTGCTATTCACTCGTCTTTTTGTAAATCAATATCGTAATAGATGCTGACAAGGATATGTTATTGCTGTACATGACCAGCTATTACCTTATCTAATACAGATTTCTTTGCATACATTGTGTGTATTAAACCTCTTATCTTGTAATTAAGGAAACGCAGACTACTTTCCATTTAATGTATTCTTTTAAAGTATACGTGGATGAGTTTACTATTTGATAAGGGTGATTTGAGGTACATAGCTCTGTCGGTTATATTGATATATACAACATTCTATCCTTCTGTATTAGAGGATGCACTTGGTTTGTTTTATTAGATCACTTCCAGTATATAAAACATGTACTGTACGGCATTCACAAGAACACCAAGCGGATTTTCCTCGTTGACTTCTGTTGATTCCGTTTGAAAGACAGCTATTTATTAGTCGATATATTTGTTCACATATAATGATCCGTAATTTTCCAGATCAATTAACATGTACGTTACTAGTATTATTCACTGGGCAATTTTATTGAGTTTCACAATTGAAAATTTCGCGATTGGGATTTTTCTTGTGTAAGATCAATAGGATATCATCGATAACATGAAACAAATCATTTTCTTTTATTAGTTTAGCATCAATGTTATTGCACTGGTATGCAATATTACAATTACAGGCTGCGGTGTCAGTGATATATAATGTGTCACATCATTGTATCGGTATTATCTGTTCTATCACTTCTCACCCTACCACTTAACTCATAGGTCACTGTAGCTTAGGCATACTTACCTTCGTACGCCGCCAACATGCTTTTGTCGTATAATACAACTTACCCTAATCGAAATGCGTAAGGTTGGTATAGCATATCACAGATTAGTTCATCTTAGTATCAGTACTACGACACTACCTAAGAACCTGACTGCAATTCCATTAGACTCATTATCACAACGTACATCACGGTTTAGGCCGATGACATTTCGGTACTTCACATGTCATATTGTAGGATCCTGCTAGGTTTGAATTGTAACTTAGAAGTCTGGGCAAAATTTTCTCAACCCAATTTGACGGAGCCGACATAGGAAAGTTGATATATGTGACTGAGATTTATGTGTAGTATGGTGTCGGTTTCCCTCTCAGGGTGCGGAATATAGGGCCATAGCTAATCAAATTATTGGTTTAGTCATACATGTGCATGTTTACACATGTAACGAGTCAAAAGGATAATATAAACTGATTACTAACAGACTCCAAATATTTTGCATGTTAAAAGAAACTAGAATATTGCATTGTGCTGTTTGTCCAGATACATTCGCAGTAGTACATGACAAAAAAGAAGTGGATATAAAGATATATAATTCGGTACCAAAATATCTCTAAGATGATTTATTCGAAATGTTAAAAATACGTAACAAAGCATTTTACAGGTACATAGTTTGTTAACGGAGAAACTGTTTTAAACAATCAAAAACAATGTTAGAGACAAGTGTAACAGAGAATTATGAAATCGCACACGTTAGACATGATGACGTCACAGTCATCTGTGAAATAACCTTTGTAAATCAGGCAAAACCTTAAAAGTAATTTCAAGTTAGAAACCTGGTATCTTTTCTTTACATTACTGTATCAGTTTTTCTCCAGTGGAAACGCTTTAAAGTAGTTACTTTTTATATGAATAGTATTGTCGTTTTCTCAGCGAAGCAAGTAAGAACATACGAAACATGTGGTTTTTGTTGTCACTGAGTGGAATGTTAAAGTGTGTATCCTTGTCCTCTCACCATGGAATGATTTTATAACAACAATAAAGACATTGGTGTACTTAATACGGCATGCCTTTCACTTAATATGTGTTTGAATACCAATAGCAGTTATGTTGAAGGGATAAAAATATATTGTACAATATAGTAGAGGCTTTAACCTTAATTATTTTCTGATATTCTTATTAAAGAATGTTTGCTTACATTTTGCGCTACCTTTAGTGAAGGACCTAATAATTGTATTAAAGTACCAAAAACAAGTACGAATTCTTACATCCAGTTTTCCCAGCACTAACATGTTGTCAGTGACAGCGCATCAGCTGTTCTGCATTAAGTATGATTGAGGATATATGGACATAATACATCGTTGGGTAAATTTCCGTTGCACCTAACCACAAGATTGATAAAGTACATAACCACGTGCATGTATACAGAAACTATATATCATATAACGAAATTACAATGTACTTATTGGTGAGATGTAATGATGATAAAATAATGTTATTACTATCTTATAACAGTGATTGTAGATAGAATAGAACAATCACTATACATACCATACTGTTTAATCATTAGCAAACAGTAAATAAAGCTGTTGATACAATGTTATAATAATGTAAATAGGACAACGGGTTAAATGTTATCATTATAATTATGGAAGAAGGACAGTGAGACAGTGTTTTTATCCGAAATACGTAATTATGAAAGTAGGTACAATGTTATTATGACTATGTAATTAAGAGTACAATGTTGTCATCATGAACATAGGACACTCGGTACAATGTTGACATTATGGTTATCTACGTAGGACAGTGGGTACAATGTTTTCATTACTGTCATGTACGTAGGAAAGAAGGTACAAGTTTGTCATGATAATTATGTAATTAGGACAGTGGGCACAACGTTGTCATCCTAATCGTGTACAAAGGACAGTGTTTGTCATGTTGATTATATAGGTAGCTCAGCCAGAAAGATGCTTTTTTATTATAATTTACAAAGCAGCAGGTACAATGTAATTAATATTATTATGAACGTTGTTATTATGTACGATTTAATATTGCAAATCACATTTCGTCGTGGACAATGTTGCTAATGCATATATATAAAGGAAACCTGGTGTCCTTTCGGGTCTCCCAAGTAAGTATCAGGTCTTTTCACAAAAGGAGAGTGAGTATCGTCTCCCTACAATTGAATGCTGAGTTAGTATTGCGGAGGGATTGCTTGTGAATTCATTCAACATTGATTGTATAAATTCTGTGTAAAACAATTCGCTACAAAGGGAAGTTAATGTCTATTTATGCTCATTACAAAGATGTGCTTAGCATCTTGCTTACTTGCAAGTTTCAGTATCTAACTTATTGACAAGTTGCTGTTTGAATATAAGGTCTTACACTAAAGGAATGTTATATAAGTATTACAATTGAAAACCAGCTACAATTTGTATGTTCACGGGAGGTCAACAATAAACTGTAACAACTGAAGGTTTTTCGAAAACGTGACACAATACAGTTATTGAGTTACACACGACAAAACGGGTTTGGTAAGTGATAAAGACTACTTTAGCCATACTCATGGATAGTGCATGTTTCGAGACCCTGAATGGCATGGCTCCTACGTATTAAGATATCTAAATTCAACACAATGTGGTGGTTTATTAGTATCAAGTTTTGTCGCAATATTTAATGACTCTTAGACTTACGATAAAGAGGATGAAGAGAAATGGTTTGTGAGAATTTTAGTTGCTGTTATGCGGTTGTATAGTTACCCACATGGATGGTGCTTTTTTAGGCTTGCTGCACTGTTCTTTTCAGTATGGTAAAGTTTCCAGTTTGTCTTGATAAAAGAGCTCGATAAGATCTCTGTCTGTGTTATTGGCGTTTAGAGGGCGAGTAAAGGCGTTGCTTAAATCTTGTAACACAACACGAATTTCGGCTATGGTTCAAAAAGTCTGCGTAACACATATAGCTATCTTGTAATCTTTTACCCTTGAAACCGCTGGCAAATTTATACGTATTAACGACGGGCGGAGCTGGTTTGAACCTCTCATGGAGGTATCGAAACACAATACAGGCAGAACGATATCCCATTTTCGTCATTGCTCTTTCAAACACATATCAGACTTCGGTGGTGTGTATTGATAATGTACAAATCTATATCGTTCAAGATTTTCGAACATTAAACCAATACCGCTGCCATCCTTTGCCTGATACTAGTTAAAACTTTTATCGGAACCAGTACTAAATTATATTTTCCTTTTCCTTTTTCTCTGCCAAGCTTGAAATATCAAGGACCTTCCCAAAACAAACTGATTACAGACATCCACTTAGTTGTACAACAAAGTCTCACAGCTCATACATTAGCAAAGTCAACAAAAGCTGATAAGGATCTTGGCAAATCACCGAAATAATCCTTAATGTATCAATATTCTCTTCGACACGTGTATTTGACCATTTTGTATATTTTTCTATCGTTGTATCCTCTCAAACCTGGTGCTCGGTACATACTGTTGTGCATATTTGTGGTGAGTGATAATCACATCCACATTCGCAGATTATTG